TCTTGAGTATTCATGGTGCATTAGAAGTTACACAGCCTATCTCATTTAACACTATCCTATAAGTTGGGTTTGGGTTGTTTTTTGGGGTTTTTTGGTCTGTGTTTTAAAATTTTTATTTATTATTAGTATTTTATCCCTGTTATATGGAAGAGGAATCTGAGGCACAGAAAAAAGAAAAACAAAATTTAGGGACTCCCATGTTCTTAGCCTCCACAGCTCTTCTGATTCCAGGCGCTGAGCAAGGCCCTAACTCAGTTTTCGTTAGCTCCCCAATGTCCATGTGACACAGGAAATGCCATAGCAAAGGCCTCTGCCCGAAGCATCCCTGGAGACAAGTCCTGCCGCGGTTGGAGGTTCTGTGCAAGGGTCCCAAGGCATCTAGCACAGGTGTCGTGACCATGGCCATGGAAGGCCCAGAGAAGACGACCAGTACAAAAGCCCAGGAGGCAAAGGATCACACGGACACATTACAGTCCTCCCTTTAGAATTGTTTTTTCTCAATTCTAGAATTTCTCTTAACCCAGAAAAGAATGGTGCCTTCTGGGCGAGGTGACTCGTGGAGAGGTGGTTTCGCTGCCACATCCTCCACAGGAGAGGGAGTCTTTGACAATTGGCATTTGAGGTCCTAGCCCCAGGTTCCCTGCGTGATGCTGAAGCAGCCACTTGCTGTGCAGAAAGCCGTGGACTTGGTGCTCAGTTGCAGACCACTGTATAATCTGTGAGTGACCCCATAAAAAAAGTGACTTCCAGTATGACCGACTGGACATCCTTTCTCAGGGAAAGCACTGTCTTTCCACCATGGTACTCAGATCCCAGAGACCTTGATGCACGCTCAGAGCAACCCACACGCAGTGCTCCACGGATTTCTCTGCAGATGCGTGAGCACCGAGGCATCGAGACGGGAGCCGGAGTGCTCCCCCTCAGAAAGGCATCTTTATTCCACAGCGCTGCTCCTTGATGCCTGCTGGAGAAGTCAAGGACAGACATCTGGAAGAGACACAGGGCCAGCTCAGAGACACAGAGGGCAGCGGATTGTGTCCAGAGTTGTCTTCCAGAGTGATCCAGACACCGAAGAAACCCTCTGACTTACCATTAAAATGTACTCGTTGATGACAATTTTGAAAGTGACACTCTGAATAGCGCACAATTTCAGACCCAACCAAAACCCAAGGATTAGTAGGTGCTCAATAAATGTCAGCGACTGATTGATCAAAAAGATCACGCTGTTTCAGTGTAACTGATTTCAACCCAGAAGGGAAACACGTTAAGGTCAAATCCCAAAGACCCTTCAAAACAATAACCTTTCATGTTGACCTTCTAGACTTACCATCGCCAAGCAGAACTTACAGTGTCCTTTGTTTAAACAGCACTGACCATGTTTTTATTAGAGAAGTTATTCATACTCAGTGTGGAAAATTTGGAAAGCAGGAAAACATATAAAGAAAAAAATTTAAATGAACCATATCCCAATACCTACACATAAGCATGGTTAATATTTGGATATATTTCCTTCCAGATGAGTAGATAAATGTGGAATCATCTAGTTTCATATCTTGTGGGTTTTTTTCCATTTATTTTAACAGTATTTTATCCAAAGCATTTAACCATGCCTTATTCTTGGGTATCGGAATTTGCAAAGCCTCCATTAGACATGAGACACCAACATACGAATGTTCTAGGATCTGTGTGACCATTATCGCTGTGGGGTATTGCGCTTGTTAATGTTTTGTTGTGACAATAATTAACCCTGCGATAAACCCGCTTGTACGTAAATCTTCGAACAAGAAGCAACCTATTATCTTGGGGTAAACGTACTGGGTTTTGGACATTTTTCAAGCTCTTGATACGTATCGCAGATCGTCTTCCAGAAACAATTGATCACATGCATGAGGTCATTCCTGGACTCTCCATTCTATTCCGGTGGTCTCTGTGTCTGTCTTTATGTCCATACCACATGCTCTTGATTTAGTGACTTTGTAGTGTGTTTCAAAATTAGGAAGTGTGAGGCCTCCAACTTCTTTTTTTCTCTCAAGATTGTCTTGGATTTGTGGTCACCTGCAGTTTCATATGAGTTTTAGAATCACCCTTTTCTGCAAAAATGGTCTTTGAGTTTTTGATAGATATTGCATTGAATATGTAGCTTGTTTGGGGGAGTATTGCCATCTTAGTTATATTAAGTCCCTCAATTGATGAACATGGTATATTTTTCCATCTATTTAGATCTTCTTTACTTTTTTTCATTGATATTTTGTAGTTTTCTGAGTACCAGTCTTGTACCTCCTTGGTTACTACTTATTACTAAGTATTTTATTAATTGTAACGCATTTCTAAGTGGGACTGTTTTCTTTTCTTTTAATATATTTTTATTGATTTTAGAGAGACAGGAAGGGAGAGGGAGAGAAAAACATTGATGGCTGCCTCCTACGGGCCCCCTCCTGGGGATCGAGCCTGGAACCTGGGCATGAGCCCTGCCCAGGAACCGAACCTGTGACCTTCTGGTGCATGGGGTGATGCTCAGCCAACAGCCACCCCGGCCAGGGCACATTGCAGGCTTGATCGCAGATCTTACATGAAATACTGCATAAGTTATATGAAGTAAGCTTTCTTATCATCTAATCTTTGGCTTGTTATAGTCTTTACTTTTTAAAAAATAATTATGATTTCAAAACAAATTGTTCTTTTCCTTCTTCCAATTTTGACTGATTTAACCAGTCAAAAGAATGCTTTTCCTTTACATCTGAAACACTGGTTCCCTTTTTAAAAATACTTGCATGGGCTGTTTGTTCCCCCTCGCTGTCATTTGAGTCGGGGGGTCTGTGGTTCAGCATATGAGGTCACGGGTGTGCCGTTGTTCACCATGTGTCTTTCACGCCCCCATCGGTCTTGCCCTGGAAGGGGATTGCAGTGCAAAGGCTCTTGCCAAAGTTCTGTGTCCAGCACTCACTCCTGTAATGTGCTGCAGGGCCAAGGAGCATCTCCTGCTTCTAATGAGAGACTAGGTGACAGTGAGGAAAAAGACTTTACCTTGGAAAACTTTGGAAATGTTTGTATACATCCCTGAGCCAACCTCAGTTAGTGTGTGGCTCTGGTGGCCTGTCCCACTGCTGCAGCCACGTGCTAGGATGCAGTCCCCCCGATCCTCACTATGCCATTCCTGGGTCTAAACTGGGTCTTAGAATGGAGGCCAACTGAGAAGTGCAGATTCAAGAATGAAATGAATGGCCTTGCTTTCTCCCCACAAAAAAAATGTAGAAGATTTTTTAAAAGGGAAGGTTGGGAATGAGCTGACTGTTCCTGTCATCATTAAAAGTCCTAAGTCTCTGATATCCGGCCAAAGTATTTATCAGTGCTTGCTGTACACACTTGTCTAAGTGCCTCACATGTGTTAGGTATACAGTCCTTATGACCACTCTGTTATTACATCTTGCAGGTCATGAAATGAGCACAAAGGTGATAACTTTCTAAGGTCACACAGCTACTGAGTGGTGAGGTCAGCGTTGAACCCACAGCCCAGCTCTCCTCCTTTAACCACTTCCTATTTATCTGTCTGTCCATCTATCCATCCATCCGTCCATCTATCTAGGATTCATTCGCCTTGGGGTCTGACTGGTCCTGAATAACACCCCTACTTTCCTTTACTCTTGGAATCATGTACCACTTGGGTATTTTTGTATTTCAATGAGGAAAATGAAGTCAGTCCCACTAGCTCTCATGTGAACTCGGAAGCCCTCATGGAATTCTTTGCATATAAGCTTGATTTTAATCACTGTTTATTTTACCGATGAGAAAATCAAAGCCCAGAATGATTAGGCAAGCTCTCCAAGACATAGACCTAGCGATGGCCAAGCAGGGTGAGAACCCATCCTTACCCGGTTTGTCCCCTCTGTGTTTAGCTGTAAACTAAGAAACTGCTGAAGTTAAATGCACCTGTCCTTCCTAACGTGCACCCGAAGGTCTGTGCAGCCTCCAGAGCCACTGGCAGCATTTGCTTGGATTGTATCTAGCCTTTGATTTCTTCTTACCTGGGAGAAGGCAGTGCAAACCCTTAACTGAGGTGTTTTTTTTTTTTCGAATTAGGCTGGGTGACAAATGTCTTCTTGAGCTTTTATTTGACATCCTATTAATTTCTTTAAAATTCCCATTGTTTTACTCTTGACAGACCTGTTATGTGTCAGATGTGAGACAAATATAGATGCAGAGGAAGCTTCCTAATAACCTGTATTTGCCTCAGACTCCTGAGGTTATGTAAAAACAAAACCGAAGTGCACACCCCAGGACAAGCACCTCACCATAAACTCTGTCCTATTTAATAGACCTCTGGGTTAGATTGTATTAAAGTATTTGATAAGTTTTCAAGAGTGTGGTCTTAATACCCTTAGTATCTCCTTCCAAAACAGAAGTTTTTTTTTGTTTTTAATTGTTGAGAGAGAGAGAGAAAGGGAGACATCGATTTGTGGTTTCACCCACCTATGCATTCTTTGGTTGCTTCTTGTATGTGCCCTCATGGGAGATCGAACCTGCAACCTTGGCATAGTAGGACAACGCTCTAATCAACTGAGCTCCCCGGCCAGTGCCAACCAATACAAAGTTTTGTCATTGTTGGGGGAGCAGTTTCTAGGCACATGGGTGACAGAGCCTCAGGGGCAGCTCTGCTTGGGTTAGCAACCTGGGCAGGCTGCATTTTGTGACACAGGTAAGCAACGTGTTCGGCCCTGGTAACATCAATTATGGTAAACACCAACCATTTAGACTTTAGCCCTTTAATAAAAATCCTCTGAATTGGTTTTGAAAAGTCAGGTTCTTTTGACAGAACCAAGTAGGAGAAAAAATAATGGAATAATTGGAGGCTGCTGTCTTTTCACTTCCCACATAAAATTGTTTGAAGAGACAGGCCAGAAGTCTAAACAGGAATACTAGGAAAAGTTGTAATTTGGATGCTGGTTGTCGTGACTTTAGGGTGTGTGCTTAAAGGACTCTCTCCCCCCCTCTGTCTCTTCCAGACATACTTTAATGACAATATCCTTACCTTGATCCGGACCCTGGTGACGGGAGGAGCCACGCCTGAGCTCGAGGCTCTGATTGCGGAGGAGAATGCCCTTCGAGGGGGCTACAGCACCCCGCAGACACTGGCCAACAGGGACCGCTGCCGCGTGGCCCAGTTAGCGCTGCTGGATGGGCCCTTTGCGGACTTGGGGGTGAGTGCCCGTGCAGAAGTCACCTGAGCCTGCTGTTTGGTAATAATAGTTTGGTCCAAATGAACAGGGTGTCAGACAATGACAAGCTAAGAATTTGTCTTTTCTACCATCTAAAGTAAATAACTCTAAAAAGTAATGTTTACAGTTTCCTTTATATCAGGCAATGTGCTTTACATGTAATCATTCATTTTGGCCTTCATGGCAACCCTTAGATGTAGGTTCTGTTATCAGACACTCTAAGGAAACTGAGGCTCAGACAGACTGAAGACTGGCCCCATCAGGAATTTGCAGCAGGAACCCTGGCTTCAGAGCCCGTGGCTTACTTCACTCCCCTTAGGGATCTTCTACCAAGAGACAGAAGACAGCAGGTGATGCCAGCTTGCAGTTAAGCCTGGGAACACTTTCCACAGGGTCTTAGCATAGCTCAGGGCTACTTAACCCCAACTGCACATTAATAGCCCATGAAGAGCTTTTGCAAACCATTGGTGGCCATGCCCAGCCCCCAGGTTTCTGAGTTTTTGTGTCTGGATAGGACCCAGGCACTGATGGTTTTCAAAGCACCACCACTACTACTGGCCAAAGAAATAGCATCTCATGTGGGCCCCTAGGTCTCTAATTCCAGACCCAGGTCTTCTCATTAACGAGGCTGGACTCAGTCTCTCTCCTCCATGCCCTTCCTGCCTCAGAGGTGACCAGCGCCTCCCTGTGCGTCCCATGCACAGCTGGGGTCAAGCACTTTGGCAGAAGTATGTGGTCTTGACCCTTACTCCCAGCCCTGCTCCAGGGATGCATTCAAGGAGTGGAGCCACAAGTCTTGGGAACCAGTAAACCCACTGCACAAACAATAGTCTCGCTCAAGGAAAGGCTCACTTTCTCCATTGCTTCTGAAACCCTGATACTGACCTGCACCATATTTTAGTCTGGTTACGGAAAGGGACCTATGTTAGACTGGGCTTTTTTGAAAGGCAGCCTGCATAGCTCATGGCTCTTTTAACTATCATCTACTTACTGAAATATTTTAAAAGGACCAAGACTTTAAATAATGGTAAAATTTGGCTCTCTGTGTGTTCTCCAATGTGGTGCCTATATGGAAATCCCAATGACAGGACGGAGAAATGCAGCCACTTTATTCCCAGGGAAGTCATTCTTTAGTGCCCTTTCTATAATAACTACACCTACCCGAAGCCACCTGGCTGCCTGACGCCAGCATTTCCAAGGGAATGAATTTGCTTTCATGTTCCACCTCGGGCTCCAGACCCCGGGAAGGTGGTCGTGAACTGATTAGAACTGTGAATTCCAGTTATTCAGCCTGCAGACCTCCAGCTCCAGGGGAAACATTTCCCTTTCACTCTTGCCATCTCCGAGGTCTGTAAATTGTGCTTTTCACACAGTCCTTCCCAGAAAGAGTCTGTCACCATAGTGCCTGGTGGGGTCTTTTCTTCTTGCAGTGATTTTAATTATCACTCGAGCGATTTTGACAACACGGTCAGATCACAGTGATTACAGCCAAGCTGGGATAAACATAATCAACGTGTTGCAGAGCTGGTTTCTTCTCCCAGCTGAACGTGCATCTGAGACCTTCAAGCTTTACACCCTCAAAGTGAGGGCGCGGTGCAGTCTCCTTAGAGCTCTCATTGTTAAGTATAGAAAGCTAGAGAGAACCAGGGGAAAACCTCATTATTGTCTGAATCCAGAATATCACCAGTATCGGGTTTAGGCTGTTAACCACATTGACTTTTTCAGCCTCAGTCCCTTGCTACAAACCCTCCAACTCAGGAGACACCAAAACAAGCCTTGGTGAAAAGGCCCATTTCCCCCTGGACCTCTGCCTGCAAGCCAATAAATACGATGTTTCTCTCTGTTCTCTTGTTATCTCCCAGGATGGTGGTTGTTATGGTGATCTGTTCTGCAAAGCTCTGAAAACGTATAATATGCTTTGTTTTGGAATTTACCGACTGAGAGATGCTCACCTCAGCACCCCCAGCCAATGCACAAAGAGGTGAGTTTGTTTCCACTCTGCTCTCCCACCAAAATGCAGACACATAAATGACCGGTCTGTCTGCCACTAGGAAGGCAGAGGCCTACATACATGCTCTCAGCAAGCAAACCACTCGGCTCACATCCAACCTGACACTGAGTTTGGAGGTATGGGAAGTTTTTTCCCTTTAATTACTAATAGCAGATGTGAAGACATTGTGGGAGGAATTCAAATTTTATAGGATAATTCTATCACCGAATTACAAACATTTGAATAGAATCATCTCCTTCAAACTCCTGCGACTGGGATAATTCTATTAGGATCTTCCTAATATAGAGATATTTCCTATTGCTAGTATTTAACATAAATGATTCTTTTGCTATCTCTTAGATGCCTATATTTTTATTTAATATGTTTTTAACTGACTCACTCGTTTACTTTTATATATTTATTTTAAGAAAATTGTATGTTAACACCTTAAACAGAAAAAATAAGTTTAGTGTGCTAGTTATATTTTTCTAATATGCATTAAGATAAATTCATAGCAGCCTCAAATTAAAAATATATCTGAGAATTATCAAAAGCAGTGTGTGTACCAATACCCCAGGTAACAATGCTGTAGTCTTGAGTGTTTCTTGGCCCTGCTTGACTATTAGAATCACTGAAGGTGCTTTAAAAAATACTCTGATTAGTCTGACTTAATTTGTCTGGAATGAAGATAAAATTGTTTAATGCCCAGGGATTACAGTGTATTTCCAGAGCTGACAATGACTACTGTAGACCAGTGGGTTCTCAATGTCTAGGGAGTATGAAAATCACCTGCAAAGCTTGAAAAACACAAATTGCTGGACCTCACGCCCAGAGTGTCTGATTCAGTAGGTTTGTGGTGGGGTTGCTTAAGAATTTGCATTCTGAAAAATTTCCCAGGTGATTTGGATATGTCTGGCCCGAGGACCACACTTTTGAGATCCACTACAGTCAATGAAACAGTGCTGCTTTTTTTATAAGTCATGTCTGGTGTTAACCAGAGAAAGCCTGATCATAGAGCACAGTTAAAGCAGGACTGACCCATGAGCAAGGAGGCGGGGTGTTTTATGTTCTTCTTTTAGTAAAATCCCCACCAAAGTTGCTTTTTAAAGGTTAAAGAGTGAAACAGGACTAGGAAGATGCTAGACTGTGGTAAGCAAAGACCCTCTGATGTGCTCCTAGAATTGTCAGAACATTCTAGAATGGAAGATGCAGTGAGTGCAGTCTTGCAGCCTCCTGCGTGCACCTGGGCCGCTCGGGATCAGAAGTAAACTTGGCATTGTATCGACAGGGGCACGTAGATCACAGGCGGCGCAGTTTGGTTTTCCCATTACCGGCACTGATTCAGCTTCTTGGGGTGTCAGGGCTCATGGCTGGTCTCCTCTGCGGAGCTAAACAGAGGAAGATTTAGCTCAGCTTGAAAGATAACTTTCAAGGCTTCGGACCAGCCATAAGTCCACTTTCCAGATCCTCTGGTGGGCCCGAGGAGCCAGGCAGTTCCTTTTGATTCAGAAATCAAAATCTCTCCCCAGCCACCCTCACCTGTGACCTCTCTGCTCTCCCGGCCAGGTATGTCATCACCAACCCCCCGTATGAGTTTGAGCTCGTGCCGACGGACCTGATCTTCTGCTTAATGCAGTTTGACCACAACGCCGGCCAGTCCCGGGCCAGCCTCTCCCATTCCTCCCACTCGTCCCAGTCCTCCAGCAAGAAGAGCTCCTCCGTCCACTCCATCCCGTCCACGGCCAACCGACCGAACCGGCCCAAGTCCCGGGAGTCCCGAGACAAACAGAAGTACGTGCAGGAAGAGCGGCTCTGATATGTGTATCCACTGCCACCGTGTGTGAAACTGTATCTGCCACTCATTTCCCCAGTGGGTGTTTCCAATAGTAACTTTCCCCATTTTCCCCTGTAGTCCCCCCCTTTTTTTTTTTTACACATATTTGCCTATGGATGATAGTGTGCATGTGGTTGTCATTTTTATTTCACCACCATAAAACCCTTGAGCACAACAGCAACTAAGCAGCAGGACCAAAAGTTAGTTATGATTCTAGGGGGGCGAGAACCCGAAGGCACGCTCCAGACATAAAAAGCTCCCTGCGGGACCGAGGTCGCAGGTTAGCGGAGCCCTTGCGATTCCTGTCTCTGAGGCAGAGCAAGTGACCTAGTTAGTTCAGTGGCTGTAGAAGAAAAGCTCATCTGACTGATCAGGATTATCAGGGTGCTTTGGGTTTTGATTTTGTTATTGTTTTCCTTCCCTCCTTCCTTTCTTTTTTTACATACATGCAATCATATAGACACACGTGTTTATTTGCAACAAGCAACCAAAAAGGAACAGAAACATACCGAATGTTTCCGCTCTCTGGGCCGAAGGATTGCGAAGCTTTTGCAAAGCGTTGGCCATTTGTGTGGATGGTGATGAGGCGCCTGCTTGCTGTGAGGGAGCGTCGAGCTTTGCCAGCTCCTCACTGAGGGCTTTCGTCCCAGAGCTGGCTTCCTTGGGGAGTTCAGATGGAAGTTTCTACCCTCACGGTGGAGGGAGGGATCGCATTCCGTTCCTGGGTGTATCAAATTCTAGTCATTTAATTTAAGTGCAAAGGGGATTGCATATTAAATTGTTGTTCTGTCTCCTAACGCTGCCATATGAATAGCTATTTTTTTCCTTCACTTTTGACATTTGGAATGAAAAGCCATATGTATCATAAATATCAGATGTAAGTCATTAAAAACTGCCTTCCTGGGACTTTTACATCTTTTAAAAGGTGAATTACTTACCTTATGTACAGAATAAATAATGCTCAGGAAAGAGCAAGTATTTTTCCACACGTTCTCAGGGGACCTTTTTACTCCCCTCTATTTGATTAGCTAGGGCCCCCACGCCTGGCAGGAGCGAGGGCCAGGGCCACGCTACCTTGAGAGGAAGGTAAGCCAGGAGCAGATCATTGTTTCCTTCAGAGCCAACGTGCTAAATAAATCAGGTTGTAGGAGGGGCAAGCCACAGTTGACTCAACAAAGACAAAAGCCAGCTACCACCTTACACTGTTGGTATAGCTGCGTGACGCTGGCTGTCCCAAAGCAGAAAGCTGGTGAGAAAAATCCCTCATCAATTTCTTTTTCGCAGCCAATTCACTTAGGCAGGAGGACGGTCACAGAGAACTGCTCCTTGTCATCTGGACATGGGGAGGGGGAGAAGAGTACCACAGTGAGCCAAACACATTTTGGTATAATTATTTTTTCTTTTGTTTTCTTTCTGTCTTTTTACCAGTTAGTAAGCATGAGAGGAAAGGTAGAAAAATACTCTTTTTTTTCCAATATACAGTTGTCAGATGTTTTATGCATGTAACTTATGCTTCAGGCAGTCCCGTAGTTGTTAAAAATCGGCCCACTGGGCCTTCACCGAAGTCTTATCTAGATGGACTAGCCCTGAGCTGGTAGATACATACTTGAAATGTTTACTTAAAAAAAAAAAAAAATTCCATCCAACAGAATAGGGGTGGAGGGGAGGAGAAAGATGTCACAGCTGTACCATCTCTGAAAAGGTGTTTTTATGGTGAATGGTTTGGGTTGAGATTTTGGATGCCCTG